TATCTCTCTATCTCTCTATCTCTCTATCTCTCTATCTCTCTATCCAGGGCTCGAATTAAGCGACGAGAAGGGCAAGGCAATTTTTTTAGGGCATGTGAGAAATTGCCTTGAATTTTCTCTAAAATGGAAGGGCACAGAGGCAATTTTAAAAGGCACCAAGGCAACTCTCAAAATTTGAGAAGGGCACAAAGGCACTTTTGTAAAATAAAGGAAAACTCATAACATATTAGTACATCAACATAGTCTTGCTTTTAATGTACAAAATAATATGCCCCCATGTAAGCTTACACCGTAACACCGACCCCTGTACCCCCCTCTGCTAATGGAAGTACAGTAACAATAAATTTTACATGCCCGCTATCAGGAGCGAATAATTATCTGATGCTGTTATTATTCCCTCCTGCGACTATCGGTTTTAAGCTCATCATTGCAACTACAGCACACACGCGCACGTGTTATGTTGACTCGACTAAAAACGAAACTAGGGCAGTAGATTAAAGGGCACCGACGGCAATTACACAAAAGGGCAAGGCAGGTGACTGCCGTCGGTCGGGTTGGATTTTCAGGGGCAGTACGGCGATTGATAGGGGCACCGACGGCAATTGCCGTCTTTTTACGAATTTGATTTTTTTTTTTGGCGAAACGAAATAATTTCGTTTTGCTTTAATCGGCCTAAAATGTGTTGAGTAGCGGCGTTTTGGCGAGTCAGTCGGTAAAGGGGAAACGAGCGATATTTTATCTTAGGCCCAGTACTAGTACTAACCCAGCAGCTGAGGCAGAGTGGCGATTTAACACGTGTCCAGCCCCGCGCACATACCAAATTCTCACAAGTTTTACATTTGCGGAGAGAGATGAGGTAGGGCAGGTACTAACGCGACGGTGGCGGCGAGTGTTACATGCTCCCCGGTCTCCCAAGGCCAGGTTTTAACGCGGCGGCGGCGGCGGTGGAGAGGGTGTCACTCTTCTATGTCTCCTCGCGCGTTCTATCTAGCAGCGTCATGAGTGAGTGTTCACATGGTTCGCACAGTCCTTGAAAAGTCCTTGAATTTGAGGGGAGTCCTTGAAAAGTACTTGAATTTAGTAAATGTTGATTTTGTGCTTGAAAAGTTCTTGAATTTCATGAAAATGTCCTTGAATTTGTAGAAAGAATCCTTGCCTGTAATAAAAAGAAATTTTGTACCATCAATAATGTGCAAACCTCAATAAAAATTGCGTTAAATGAGATTAAAAAGCTATAGACACGATAGACAGTTAAATGATTATCACAAATTACAGTAAGTCAGTAAAACCAGTCAGTAAATCAAGGTATGTTGTAGACGTGACAGTGTTTAGAAGGGTTTATTAATGTGATCCAGGTAAGTTTTAGACGTGACATGCAGTGATTAAGAATGGGGTTAAATAATTAATCCAGGTATGTTTTGTTCCGTGTATGAATTCCGATAAAATGTCTGATAAAATGTCCTTGAATTTCCGATAAAATGTCCTTGAATGTCTGATAAAATGTCCTTGAATTTCCGATAAAATGTCCTTGAAAAGTCCTTGAAAAGTCCTTGAAAAAAAATTCCCAGTCCTGTATGAACCATGGGTTCAGTAGATGTCCTAGGACACAGCAGATACTAGCACGGCAGCTGAGGCAGAGGGGGATTTAACACGTGTCCAACCCCGTGCGCATAACAAACTCACAAGTTTTGTATTCACGGAGAGAGAGGAGGTGCTGACGGTGATGCGTGTAAATATTTGGTAGATGCGTAGTGAAGGTTTTACGAAGTCGGTGATGTTTGGCGTGTTTACGCGGGAACTCGCTCTAGCAACGTACTGTAAAGTCGCTTATTTTCGTGGATCCCAATTTTTGTGGTTTCGATAAAAAACACGTTCGTGGATTTTTAAATTCGTGGATTGAAATCGTAGAACCGGCACTTGACATCTGTACATCATATTTCGTTGGGAACGTAAGTTCGTCGATTGATAGACCCACGAAATCCACGAAAATTGGTACCCCACGAAAAAAAAGGAATTTACAGTATTACACCATCGCGGCAGCAAACAAGGCTGCTCCTGAGCTAGCTCATAGAGTACTCATACATAGGGATTTTTTTTACAAATCTGTTGATGTTTGAAAGTTTACGAGGCGGGAGAACTAGATACATATCATACTGCTGCAATAACAAACAGTAGTACACGCATAAGCTAACTGATAGTTATCGTAGGAAGATTTTCCAAATCCGTTGATGTTTGAAGTGTTTAGTACAAACTTGAGGACGCGCATAAGCTAACCGATATTACAGGTTTTGCACAGCCGGTGATCTTTAGCATGATTACGAGGGGGGCCCAACTAAATGCATATCGTACTGCTAGTCAGGTCCCTTAGCTTCATGATCGTTACAGAGCTAGCAAAAGCATCAAACTTGGCACAGTTGTAGCCTATGGCAGTACTATAAATATTAGAGGGGGTGCCCAATGTAGATATTCCTTAGAAATGAATAATCAATTACAGATGATTAAATGTTCGAACCGCTCCCGCCTGTACTGGCGCATTGTATACAGCTGTTAACCCCCCTCCAATGCGCTATTGCGCTATAGGCGGCATGAAAGTGTATTAACTCTCATATCTCGCGAACGAATTGAGTTTCATTTCTAGAAATCTAGATACATATAAACACATGTTTTAGCTATAATCCCCGTGAATTTTTTTTGAAGTTTATTGAAGCACGAATAGTTTAATTAATTACCAAAAATATACGCACGGTATCGTCATAGGATAATATATACGCGCGGCTATGGCCCGTAGGATAGTTGTACTAACTCTAATATCTCGCGAACGATTTGAGTTACATTTTCTAAAATTCTAGATACATATAAACACATGTCTTAGCTATGGTCTCTGTGAATTTTTAGTTTATTAAAGCACGAATAGTTTAGTAAACCAGACCTTGTGTTTTAAGGTGCGCGATCGCGCTCGCGCGCCATCGCGCGCCTCGATTGATCACGAGAAGTGCGAAAAAAACGCGCACCTAAGCATTATCAAAACGCACACTTTTTTTCTTTTCTTTTTTCTTTTTCGTGTTTTATTTTTCATTAATTCAACTTATAAACTCGAAGATAAACGCAAATGGTTGTAAACATCACAGACATTGCCGGAAGTCGGTTCACATGTTTATAACGACAGTCGCAAAGCGCTCTAGAATGACGAATGTGATTGGTTGTATTTTTAGATAAAGTTTTAATAGTCTACTTTGAAAAATTGAGTGTTGTTCC